ATCAGAATAATAGATCAGAATAACAGACAGCAGTGAATAAGTTGCATTGGCTTAGGCACGTTCTACGTAGGCCGGGTAACCAATTACCGAAGTGGGTCTTGTTTTGCTTGCCAGATGTAGGGTGGAGCAAGGTTCGACGTGGGCAAAAATTAATTTGGCAGTGGGAAACGAAGTCGCTGACGATTAAACTGGGTACCATTGGCCGGCGTTGTGCTTGCCTCGATACCTTAAAGGATACGAGTTGCAGTCGGTATCAGTGGCGTGTCTGCTGCCTTCTACTAGTCAGACTGTCTGTTTAAAATGCGTTTGATGTTGGGTTATATGCAAATTTATGGTTGATTAGGACTGGAAGCAAAGAAAGCTGCAGGGAAGCTGCCTCAAGGATGCCGCCTTGCCTTTGAACGATAGCCAGTTGTTACTGTTGGTATGTTATTGGCACAAGATGTAGGCGCTTTGACGCTAAATGTTTGCTTGAGGCATTAAGGTTTTTCGCAATTTCACTCTTCTCTTGCCCACATAGTTTTCTGTAGGTCACCGTAGTTGTACAGCTGTGAAGCATCAGTTCCAATGGCTTTTATATTGCTGTTGATGGACGGTGTATAATAAGAGTTAAAAGGAACTGGGACACATGGAGGACCGGTCACCGGGTCACACCGGTTAATGATGACTCGCAACTGAGTAGTACGCTAATGGGAACCTAATATATTTTCATACGACAGTCGCTTGCCTCGGAGTGCGTGCTTGAGATGGTGACAGCTGGTAGATCGATCAGACGAATGGGTGTGAAATGGGTCGGTAAACCTCGTCGGCAATAGACCCCTTGACGAGAAAACAATGTTTGAGCAGAGCCGATGAGACGCGACGCACTGCGATAATGGTATTGGCATGGGATCAGAGTGAAACAACGATTGACTTTCATTGCCACCGAATCAACGTAGTTAGTATGAACGAGTCAGAAGTGCTAGCGGAAGTTGGATGTTTAGTGCGATATCATAGTAAGGTTTAACCTATGTGCGATTTGACGCAGAGTGTAAAAACAGAAGCTAAATGGCTCAGTCCAACCAACCTACGTAACGCGAAAGTGCGCTGCATGTCTTTGAAGCAAGGTGCTGCTTACTATTTGGTTCAACCCACCGGCACTGAGAAGAGACCAATTAAAACAAAACGAGCGGATAATACAACGATAGTATGCAGCTCAACTCTGGTTATTTGTTTGGTAATAGGTGGTTTCGGATCAGTCGGTCGCAAAACGACTGCGCAAACAGGGAGACAATAGACTGTTTGCACTATACCGCCCGTAGTTCTAGCCAATTAGTGCATTGTCAGTGAAAAGCTCGAAAATAAAGATATGGCCTGGGTATACAAGTGTCGAGAGTGAATCTATGTGACCATATCCCGAAGTAAGGGCAACCCTCAAAGACGATGAGTGTAAAGTTCATCACTGAATACACGGCATGTTTTGAGTGCTTGGGTGCTGCTGGATAGGTGGAGTCGATCAGTCGCCAACATCAGATTGGAAGGAGGTCATTCATCCATAAGCAATAACTTGAACAATGAGTTAATCACGCACGCAAATGCAAACGCTTACCAGTTTTCCGTAGGTAAAGTGAGACATCAAAATGAATGTAGCAAAACTAAAACCTCGTAGTGGTTGACTAACCGTAAATTTCACAAATGTACATAGTCTGGTTACGTTGTCCCATGTCCCCATAATTTGGGTTAAATTAACTGATGCGGATGATATATATATATATATATATATATATATATATGTATATATAGAGAGAGAGATTGGTCAATAATTCCAGAAATGTCACGAGTGGTGTAGTTCAGGGCAACGTATTGGACCAATTTCTTTTCCTCATTTATTTAAACGATAGATGTGAGAATATTAGACACGAGCGCCTGGTTGTATTTGCAGATGATATCATTTCGACCTGACTATCTGGAACTGTGATGAAAAAAAGACGCGAGGACTTATCATCCCTAAACGAAATCTCAGGTACTCCACCATAGATGCAAGATACCAGAAAGATCCATCGCTCTCACTGGCACCTCATCCCAACTGCGAATTCCGTTGGAGACCTAGGAATTCGATATTCGCGCAGTTCCAACTTCTCCGAACAAATCCTACACCCGTAGCGAAAGCGAAGCAATTAACGAGCTACATCACTAGGTTATTATCCTTATCCCAAACACGACTTGAATCATTCAAACTAATTGTGCGACCTACTCTAGAGTATTCCACTATCACACATAGCCACCTAAGTAAAACAGATTGAATTATCTGGGAAAACATCCAGCAATCATTTACCAAAGTGCTCATGGGGCGCTCATCATCGCTTATCTATGAGGAGCGATGTTCTCTCCTCGAGCTCGATCCGCTCTGGCTTCAACGGCTGAAAATCAATCTCACTCTCCTCTACCGCACAATATTCCCGCGAGTTTTCTCAACCAGCACGACGGTCACATTACAAAATGGCTCAATCTATCCCACCGGTATTGAAAAATGTCTGCTAGCCTTACAGAGGGCAAAAACCATTTCCATCTAAAATGCTTTTTGATGTGGTACACCCATATGTGAAAGAAACTCCCGTTACAATTAAGAATTTACGAGAGCCTGCGTATTTTTAAAATTAATTTAACAACTATTCTTCCCATGCGAAATGTGGCCAAGCATTCGAGCGTCAACTATCCCCGTGCGTGCTCATGGAGTCAGACCCGAATATGATATGGCAGTGATAACTAGCAAACAATGTGACTTATTACATAGACAACAAAACATTGCATGTCGCTTCCATATTGAAGGCAGTTCATAGGTGAACTGATGACAAAACCAGCTGCACAAATGAGCGTTCCACGACAGTTTCGGAAAATTTATTATTATATATATATATATATATATATCGACTGTGCGAGTTGCAGTCCAACTATGTAATCTGACCATTTGGTACAATAGGATCTCAAAGAATGTATGTCATTTCTGATTATCCAGAGCAGTTTCATGATAGCTTTCCTGGAAATTCGATCAGTAAAATCTTCGAATGAAGGTGAGTTTGAAACTGGGGTGAAAGTGGTATTAAAAATGTTTAAGTGATTTAACTCGGCTATCCGTGGAACCGTCTTCTGGGGACTTGATTCCGTGCTAGATGATCCCTTGAATGGTTTCATCCGCACTTGCACCACCCATTTGGCTTTGTGCCGGTGTGTCATGATGGCAAGTGAGCTAGCACCGTATTAGCTAATCTTCAGGCCGTTTTGTGTACAGTAATAGGCTCATAGCGACAAGTGAAGACTTTTTTGAATTTTATACTCTTTTAAGTCTTTCAGCCAATTTCAACTTCAGACTCTTTCAAGTCTTTGGCTTATTTTTACTCGTCGAGTCTGTGGCAATTTCCCTTGTGTAAGCATATATTACATCAGCTAGGCTAGTTTTGAATTCATTTTGTGCTTAAGCGGAAATGACAAAATGCGAAAGTAAGTGCCACGGCCAGGATATACGAAAGTTCCAGCGGCACTCTAACTGGTTATATTGTGTCGCCAACTTCAAATGTAGGCCTCTCACTGAGGTGCTTCGGATGCGCTTCAATAAAGGTCTGCATGAGTGGTTATAATCATTAAGGATGTAGTACACTAATATAAGATCACCGTGCTGAAGACGATATTTCTCACTGAATACTTCTAGTGTTTAGTCTAAATTACTAAGGGGTTGAAGCAATTTCTTAAAATTTTGTGAGAAGTAGAGCCTCTGGAGGCCACACACAGTCTTTCTATGATGATAATGTGCATGACAGCGAATGGCATGACAATTTTATTAACCCTCACCACAATGTTGCGCTTGGTTCAGAGGAATTAAGAACATGGTTCCCTTTGAGGTGAAGGATACAAATCCCTATGAATTCGAGCACAACGTGCATTGTTAACGAATGGCTGTTGAGCAAGACATCCATTAAACCTATCCAGATATTTGTTAGCTATGCTACCAGAGCTAACGGTGAGGAAGTTACTCGAAAAGGCATAATTTGCGGTTGTTCCATCAGTGTAATTCATTCGTCAACTTCGATTACGGGCTGTACAATTTGACATCATGCTGAATATTTAGCCAATTGCAACGCATAAACTTAGGTTAAGATCAGTCTCTAGATTCGAGAAAACAATCCGGAGACACTCAGTGAAATAGTTAATATAATACGACCGGATAGTCTTCGTGACGATGTGTACTCTTGCTTTTTCTGGACGCTTGAGAATGTGTTTACTGTGTTACGAAAAGGCTGACAGATCAACTGTATAATCATGTCTGAGTAAATAAAATAAATAAAATAATAATGTGTCAGCTGTACGCCGTAACGGCGCTTCGCTGCCGCGCGATCACCACCAGTCGCACGCGGGCTGAGTATACCGCGAGGACACCCACCCCTACGCGGATTCGAACCGGTGACCTTATGGTTGCAAAGCAAACGTGCATACCACTCAGGCCACCGGCCGAGTAACGCACTCCGTCTTAAATCTTGGTTTCGGGTCGATTTAATTGGCATAGGTTGCACCCAACCTTGCGTTAAACTGCAAGATGACTGGAGCAATAACATCACGTAAGGTATTTGTTTTAAAGGATGTAGTCTGTGCCATGCAACCCAACGCGCTGGTGGCAGTGCCATACAAGCAGATTTTCCAGATTGCAGCACTAAGCAGGCCGCGATCATCGGTTGACGCATTGCCTACAAACTCACAGGACAACTCAGCGCCCAATATGCTGATCTATTTTGTTCAAAAGCATAGCAGCAAGGTACAAATGCACGATACTAGGAATTCAGAGGTCAAACGTGCACATACTAAAGGCATATTGTGTGGTACCTAGTAGATCTGTAGGTTCTCATGATACTCCCCTGCTCATCTTTTTTTGTCCACTTACTATACTGCAACCCGACACAGAACGACAGAAAGAGAAGCCAATTCCACTTACCCGCAGCTGCGTCATCCTGCTGCGAGTATATGCGCCGAAATCCACCTCCACTGTTGTACATGAAGCAATTCGACCGGATCACCAAACAACAGCTCACGCTGATCGAGCACTATCGCGTCGCGCAAGCAGAACACTGCAAACTGGGCCGAAACAGCATGGCGCAATTGATGGATGCGAACAAGGCGTTTGCTACCAACATGAACACATTAGAGCCCGAGAGCTGGCAGACTGGGCTGGAAGATTGCGGCGATTTCTATACTCATCGATGGAGAGAGGTAAGGATACTGTTTTTATTTATGAGCTAGCCAACTCCCCAAATACATGTGTTCTAAGTATGTTAAGGTCTGCCTAACGCATGAGATACTGGTTATGGCAAACAGGTCCTATGCGAAGTTCGCTATTCAAATGGGGAATCAGAAGGTAAAGACTTGCTGAAAGAATAAACTAGAGCTAAACAGTCTATTCAGCTAGAGTCCTCATTATATTACATTTCTCCGAAAGAGATCAATTGTGGCTGATTCATATTTCGCCAGCCTTGTTTCACTTACACGCAACTTAGTAGACCGTTTCCGGTAGATTGAAATCCGGCCAAACGATCTTACTTTAAAAGGGACATTGCTTCCGTCGGAAAGGCACTAATCCGCTCTAATAGCTAAGAGGAGGGGAGTGCAGACGCCTTTGAAGAAGAACAACCATCTGCGCTAACGTGCTGTACTATATATATATATATATATATATATATATATATATATATATATATATATATATATATATATATATATATATATATATATATATATATATATATATATATATATATATATATATATATATATATATATATATATATATATATATATATATATATATATATATATATATATATATATATATATATGGTTGGCGGCATCCGGTTTCGGATTTGCCTGTCACTGTGGCAAGCCACAGGACGCCTGCGCCTACAGAGGGACCATGGATGGCTTGCACTGCACCACCCACAGCTCCAACCACATACCCCATATCCAGTGTAAACTCGAAGGAATAAGACCGGGAGGCATGCGGATGGGAACCGCGTTTCATCAACGGAGCCGGCCCACACTCCTTCACAGACAAACACAATCACACTGTACTTGCGAATCAAGCGCGCACAAACCAGGTTACCGCATGAACAATGTTGGCAGCCGGCGACTGTGCTCGATTCTTCAGGAAGTCAACACGATTTGCAGCTTCCGGACGGCCGGGTTGTTCGCCGGCACTCAGATCATGTACGCCCCAGGAGCACTGACACACCTGCCGTGAGTCAGTCACACTCGGAGATCGCAGAGCAAGCTGCAGAGCACGACGAACACAGAACAACAGGGGAAACTCAACTACGCCGATCGACCCGGATTCGCAAACCGATCGAACGTTTTCAGCCATGACTGTAACGTCAGCCAAAACAGGGAGGACTGTTACGTGTTCAACCAATGATCGCTCACTATGACCGCGAACGTGATTGGCCCTACACACACACATGTAGATAAGCACGCACACACGCACTCAAGGACACACCCTAACTCTCCGTGTTCACATGTAAACCGTTAAGTGTTCAGTATACTGCGTGCCAGACTGACGCGTCTTCTTGCTTATTCACTACTAGTTGAAATACGTACTTGCGGTTAGAGTCCAACCTTGATACCATCATAACACCTACCAGCAATGGTACTCGAAGCAGTTAGCCCTACACACAGGTTACGGCGTTCTGTAGACATGCAATCAGGTGGGTTATGCATGATCGCTAGTCACGATTCACTAGGAATGTCAGATGTCGATAAATACAGTCACTGTCTTTTACCCACTCCACGGCTGTCAGTTATCCGCGTTGAAGTGTTCATACCCTCCCTTTTTGCACTGGAGACCCGATCAAACACCATCAGAAATGCAGAGTCAAACAAATAAATGCAATTAAGTTGGCAACATAAACACCAACACATCTGTCTACATGCACAACGATCCAGTTTGTAAGTGGTTAGCCCTTAACTCTTTTGTATATTTACCAATCCTTCGTGTTTTTATCCCGCTGATGATGCCTCGCAAAGTCTGGAATAAATAATTTATTTATTTATCTGTTGTTTCGTAAATCATGTTCTTCAGAGTGAGATAGGAAGAAATCGACTACTGAATAATGAGAAATCAGGTATCCAAAGCCTAGACAGGCCAATGCTCATACCCACATGAAGGTAATATTAGGATCACCTGACTTCCGAGGGGCCGAATAAGACCGAAGTCACCTTTGAGTGGTTAGCGATACATTTCGAATCCGGAAAGAATCACCGATACTACTTACAGGTCCCAGTAGGGGGAAACAGCATTCAAACAATCTCCCAATGGATGAGGACTGCATGCTTTGGTCCAGTTGTTACGAAGAAATGCAAAATCCACGGAGTCGATGGAATGTTGTGGCGACGGGGAAATGCATGTGCAGGAGCACCTAAGATCCATTTGGGAAACACCACGTACAGGAACGGAGAAGGCGGCATTGCATTCAAAGCTTTTTTTATATTTCTTGCTACAGGTCTAACGCCGATGGCTTATTGTCTGAAATACTGTGTGATATCCAACAATCGGTACACGCTATACCAGCGCACATTCGGTCGGATGCGAGAATATCGGAGGCCAAAGATTAACCTGAAGGTGGGTGGATTTAAAAGAATGCAAAATGATCAAGTGGAATTGTGTCTTATGTGTATGTATATTTCTCGACTGTGCGAGTTACAGTCCGAAAGGTGGACTGATCATGTGATACAACATGATCTTAAAGTGCACACGTTAGTTTAGATTTACCGAAAAAGACTAAAATCAGATATATGGGAAGTCCCTTGTTCTTGATGAATAAATGGGAATTTTCCAGTTATAGAAGTAGTTATTAAAAGAAGCACGATAGTATTAATACGACTACCCGTGTAACCGACTCCTGGGGACCTGCTTCCATGCGGAGTAATCCCTCGAAAGGTTTCATCCGCACCTCCAGGTCCCATTTGGCTTCGTGTCGGTATGCTATAACAGCAAACGAGGCATCACCATACTAGGTTCTTTTTATGGCCATTCTTATACATAACAAGTAATAGGTTTGCAAAGGTAAGTGAGCTCTCATCATTTTTGTTTTTTAAATATACGCACAATTTCGGCTACTGGCTCTTTCAAACCTGACACCTTTCCACCTGTTGTGTGTGTGTGTAAATAAGCCTTGATTAGGCATATTTTTTCTCACGTGAGTACAGCTTCATATCTTCATGCGTCAAATGGAGTATCGGAAAATGTGGTGCATACGGTAAAAAAGCCTGTTAAAGCAGTAATCGGGAACCACACAAACGCGAATAGATGGATTACTATTTGCCTTCAGAATAATTCCGACAGAAGCCAACGGTAAATCCCCGGTAGAAGTAATGTACGATAGAACATTTCGTACTAGAGTACATTTATTATTTCCTATTCATCGAGCGCAAATAGAAGCTAAACAAAAATGTCAGCTGCGCTGGACAGGAATCACGATGTTGTTTTCCAACCGGGAGATCCTGTGTATACACGAATTTCCCACGAACAGTCATGGCAGCCCGCAACCGTGGTCACAAGTGATGGTACCCAGGCCGACGGTGGAGCAAAGTACTCAGGGGATACGGCGCCAACAACAAACAGACCACTACTTAGCAGATCGCAAGGTGTACCTAAACCTGTTGGACGTTTCGTTCCCGGAGTATGACTGTATCCAAGAGAGGAGGGGATGTTACATCCGTAGATGGTATTGATCAGTTAGTTCAGACACAGCGTGTTCGTACCGATTTGCCTTGCACTGACCAGTAATTAATTCCTCACTTCAGGCAGTAACTCGTGTGTCATACGAGCCATGTTGGCAGTGCTTCACCTGTTACACCCTGTTTCGTACTGTGTGTTGTTCCTAACTAAGTGCGATCTGAGGGCGTGCTTTGCTTGAATATTTTAACACGTACTGGATGTACCAACGGAAGCCGCGGATTTTTGGATTACTGTGCTGCACTCCCCATTTTCTTCCGGATTACTCTGTTATAAGTGATTTTTCTGTGTGAAATATACACCAATATTTTTCTTTTGGTGTATTCTTCAACATGTGAAAATTTGGCGGATTTTTTCTGGCTAATTTCGCAGTTCTTGTTGATTAGTCCAACTGCCGTCTGTGTCCGTCATCTTGCATTTGTTCACGATAAGTGGACATCATGACCACCACACCGGTAACCCGAAACGAAGCATTTTGTACTAATCAAACTTGTGCTAAGGTATTAAAAGGAGGGTTGACTTGCACAACTTGCCAAGACCGGTACTATTTGTCTGTAGAACCAACATAAAGAAATACAATACACCGGGTTCACTTTGGTTCTGTCCGAAGTGCACAGCGATTCCACTGGTAAAATGCGTACTAGTGTTAACACAAAAGTATGACAGCCTAGTCGTCGAAACTGAACATCGTTTGAATGCAAAAATTGTTTCGCTCGAAGCGCAAATAGCGCAGCTTGTATTTTATCCGTCTCTCTCAATTGGCGCCTCGAAACCGAGGAAAATGGCCAAGCGATCAAACCGCCACGCAGCACTAAAACCTTGGGAACCACGAACCAAGTCGTCATTGCGACCGATAGAGGCATTCCTAGTTCCATTGCCTATATCATTTTATCAAATGTATTGACTGATGCACCATCGGTAATATTCGCTCCTCCGATTGACCAACGAAATCTGAAACAGTCTAAAGACCGATGTACCTATGCAACCGTTGCTGCTTGGTATAAGCGAAGTGTGACCTCGGTAGCCTCACCCAGTACAGCCGCAAAACGAGTCAAGGATCAGATGCAACCTGCACAGACATCACTAAATCCATCGATAACCGTGCTTCCCACATCACCGAATACTAGGCGGAACTACGGGGCCTTGATACTTATATGCACCAACGTACTTGAGTCCAAGGCAAACTCCGTAAGGGGTAAACAGTTGGATGATGTCAAAAAATGGAATTTCCTTTGTGATAAAATCCGAGTTCAAGCTAGTCCAACTAAGATAATGCGCATCACTAGACATCCAACGTCGAATCATTATGGGGATTTCCGGCTAATACGAGTAATATTAGGATCTACGGATGATGTCGAGACGATGCTTTTGTCGGCATACCGCTTGCGAAATTAAAACAGTAGCATACGCATATTTCCGGATGTTCCATGGAGCGAACGCCAGCAGGACGAAAATAATTCAAACGACCGCCACACGGAGAGTAACAAAAGAATTATTTTCGTTCATGGCGTGTCCGAGCTACCGACAACCAGCAACGAGGAACATCATGCTTATGATCTGGAAGAATGAACAATGAACAATGGAGTTATCACGAGATAAAAGCAAGTGCTTGACACATCCCGTAAGATGGTTGAGGTGAATATGATGAAATCAAAATATATCTGGGTCATCTACCGAACGTCTGCCGAGATGAATACTTTGATAAATTACATCAGCATAAATTAAAAAATAGAGCGTAAACCTTCAGAAAGACACTGGGGTGTAGTGATCGTTGATGTAAGGAGTGAGAAAAGTAAAATATGGTCGTTCTCTTAGGTCCATCTGATACATAAATCCTGTTGAATAGCATGCTTGGCGTAATCCACAATCGAGGAGTTTAGGTAACAAAATGTCGGGAGCTAAGAGCAACATCTAATCGTTTTTCGAAAACGTCCAAGTTAGGAGAGGATACAACTGAGTCTGGGAGTGCCTCCCAGGGTTAGCAAACCCGAAGGGAAAAGTAATTCCGTCAACACTCTAAACGGATATATCGTTCCTTCATCTTTAAGCAGTTACCCCTGAGCTGCATGTTGTGGCTAAGTTTCAGCAAATGGCGGCATACGTGGTTGGGGCCACTCAGTATCTGATACGCTAATATGAGATCACCGCACAGCCTTCGATAGCGTCCGCTGAAAATTCCCAGCAATTTCAGCCCTCGGTGGTAAGAGTGATGGCGCAGGACCTTTACATTCTTTGTTGCTCTCCGTTGTGGTGCCTCTATCACTTCTAGGTCGCGCTTCAACCAAGGTTGCCAAGCTTGGATAGCGTATTCAACATGCGGGCGTATGCAGGAATTGTGCACCATTGGGAAGATTGATGGGTCAAATCTCTCGAATGCCCTTCGCAGCATGCCGACGTGCTGGTTACATCTTTTCGCAGCTACCTCAGGCTGTTTTGAACAGTTGAGGTCGCTCGGTACGATCACACCAAGGTCACGTTCTTGGGAGCTGCTCTGCAATCCGTTTGTCCCAAGCAAATAGGTGTAGTTATGTCTATGGCATAATTGTACAACGCGACATTTGTCTACGTCGAATGGTAGGGTGTTTCGAACTGACCAGTTCGATACTGTATTAAGATCGCAATGGAGCCGTCCGTGGTCTTCCGGTCCTCTGATCCTTCGCCATATCTTGATATCATCAGCGAAAAATAGAAAATCGGAAGCAATTGATCTCGCCAAATCGTTAAGAATGGTGTTACATCCGTGAAGCTCTCTATGAGGGCAACATCATTCTTCAGTCGATTACATGGTTACCAGTGTCGGCAAACTACAGAGGCATTGGCCCGAAAATACTGAAACTAACGGTGCAATCACAACAGATGGCTGTGAAGTTATTCCATAGCTGGCAGTTACTACGCAATACACTTCCTTCGGAACTACGAATGAAGGCAGCAATTTGAGAGCCGTAGCCACTCACTGTTCTCGCGAAAACGACGCCACCCGCGACTCGGTATAAATGCAACAGCGATTCAGAATCCTGCGCGATAAGACCCTTAGATATCAAGAATGCTGCAGATGGACTACATACCGCAGGTGCAAGTAAGACCAAAGGTAGATTGCATTCCTACCGAGATTTGGTAATTTACCCAAAAAACGATTAGATGTCGGCATCTCATCGGTCGGCACAAATCCACATCCTTCATGTGCTCCTAGTCAACAGCTTTTGACATCCGAGAAGCTTTCCTGTATGTATACCAATGTTCAAGGACTACTGATTAAACTTTCCGAAATGCAGCTGCTTCAAGGATCCAAAGCCTACAACCTCATCGCTATAACGGAGACATGGTACCCCCTGACATAGATGATGTGAAAATCGCACTGCCAGACATGTTCACTGTTCGGCACGACCGACCCAGCAAAGGTGGAGGGGTGGCTCTGTGCTTCCGCAATGACCTCCAATGTGAGCTCATAGAGAATCCAGTCAGCACGGTGCAAGATTCCCTTTGGTGCCATTTACTTTTAAAAGGCGACGACAATTGCTTAGTGGCAGTCATTTACCGTCCTCCTTCCTCCACGCCAGAGATGGACTCCCATCTGGCATCCACAATAAGGAGGGTGATAAACACAACTTACAATCACATTCTCATTTCCGGCGCTTTCTACATCCCCGCTCTAGTATTCCAAACAGCTCCCGAAGAACAATATAAGGTGGATTACTCATGAATGGAAGGATTTTGGTGAGTATTTTTGTTCGTCGCAATCAGCCGACAATTCAGATATGTCGACCAGTTGTTCAGAAAAGCACCAGACGGCCGTTTCGCCCTATTGGGGCTCATCAGTGGGGCGCATCCTTCGGTCCTCTGCGGAGGACCGAACCCATGACTGCTAGTGGCTCTTGCCAACTAGC